TATACTATAATTCATCACGTACATGAACACATCGCAGCAGCAAGAAAACAAATAGCAACCTGCACAAACGTGGCAGGTGCAACATATGTTTTGCGCAATTCCATGCAGCTAGCGTTTGTCTGCTAAAGATTTTCACTCTTAGCTGAGTTTGAATTTGAATGGTCGTATGGGGGAGGGGACATTCCCCTAAAATTTCACCTTCCTAGCTTTCCTGATTCCCCAGATAATAATTTTGCCAAAATTTTCAGCGGGGCAGACGTGCGCGAGGAAAAGCTGAATTTAAATTTGCGGGGTCGTACGTGGGCAGGGAGACATTATCTTAAAAATTCAACACCCCAGCTCTGCTAGTCCCGGAGATAATTTTCCTTGCTAAAACTTCTACTAGGCCGTACGTGAAATTAAGCAGTACATGAAGGCTGGATTTGAGCTTGCTGGGTTATACTTTGGGTAGAGGATGTTTAGGCTAGCAATTGTAGCTGCACTTTTGAATATGAAATTTTGGTGCGTTTTTGATCCGCCGGATGGGTCAGAAAAGCATCGTCGCGACCTTAAACTGTATTGCATTCAACCGGTTTCATTTCGCCAAAGCTTGTCGCAAAAACGCACATTTGACCCTAATAATCACTGATGTAGCAGATGAACGATATTTTCAGCAAAAGGAATTTGCTTGTTTTTTCCGGGAGTCCGTACAGACAAGACGGGAAGCTGAAACTTTGCAGGGATATCATTTACGCGTGTGTGAGCTAAAGATTTGAAACTCAGCTATCGCGCATTTGTCGCAAATGCGATTGAGTCGTAGATCACGGTTGGCACTGGGCCAATTCGAAAACTCGCGAGAAAACAGTAGCTGAAATTTTGGCTGAATATTTATCGTCCATATCAAAAATCGTTTTATTAAACTGAGTTCCGATTTGCGAGTAGATTAACGACTAAAAATCCGCAAATTTAGCGCAAAAGCGCATAATCGTACCGACAAACTCCGCCCTGCGCAGTCCTACCCTGCATGTCATTATTATTCGTGGTTCCGCAGTTACTCAAAGTAATACAACCATTCATGACATCATAACTGTTCGTGGTATCGCTGTTATTCACGGCATAACAGCTATTTGCATTACCGCAACTACTCGGAGCATCACAGTTAATCGTGCTAACACAATTATTCATGGTACTACAGTTATTCGTGAAACCACATTCGCGATACCGTAGTAATTCGTGGCACCACAAATTACCCGGAACATCATGACTGCACGCAGTTGGTACCATAACGATTCGTGGTACCACAGATGTTCGTTGTACCATAAATACTGATGGTTTATTCGTAATGCCACAGCCATTCGTTATGCCACAACTATCCGTTGTACCACTACAATGCTACCACAGTTGTTTCTGATGCCACATTTATTTGTGGCACTGCAATTATTCGTTGTACCACAGTACTGGTGATTTGTGGTGTCACGGCTACCCGCGATATCGCAGTCATTCAAGGCATCACAAATATCCGTGCTACCACAACTATTCGTCACAGTTATCCGTGTTACACATGCTGCTCGTGGTACCGCAGTTATTTGTGGTACCACAGTTTCCTGTCGTACCACAACTATTCGCGATGCTACAGTTCTCCGCGTACTACAATTTTTTGCGGAACCATAGTTAGCCGTGGCAACACTGCTTACAAGGAATATCCGCACTGATAGTCTTAGTATTTATCATCCAACTGGGCAACCTTACACCTAAATGGAGTTTCGAATTGCATTTGCGCTACAGCTTAGAGCACTTTTAAGATATCTGTAGCGAAGTAGTGATTTCAAGCTCCAGACAAGCTGCGAGA